GATAGGAGTGAAGAGTCCTCCGCGAAAGAAGGAAGCACCCAAACCAGATGTAGAGGTCCCCACGATTGAACAGGCCCGAGCATCTTATCAGAAGGGGCCCGACAGAAGCGTGAGGCCCTCCATTCAAATAAGAAGTATCCAAAACCCGGTGCGGAGGGTCCCCGAAAGATGGAGTATACCCGAACAGGTTATCAGATGACCCCGATAGGAGCAGAAGGGCTTTAATTCAAACACCAAGGACTAGTGTGCAGCCCCCCCCCCCCCCCCCCCGAGCAATCCAGCGTGGCCGAGGAGGCGAACAGAAGGACCCCGACTAGTGCGTAGGGCCCCATTCAAACGGCACGTGCCCAAGGCCCAATGTAGAGGGCCCCCGAGCAATCGAATGCGTCTGAGCAGGTTATCAGATAGCCCCCCCCCCCCCCACACACACACAAGAGCGTAGGGCCCCCACTTAGAAAAAAGTATCCAGGATCCAATGTGGAGGGTCCCCAAGTGACTGAGTGTGCCCAAGTAGGCCATCAGATGGGCCCCCACAAGAGTGTAGGGCCCTAAGCAAATGACAGAGAATTGGAAGCGCCCTAGTAGACCAATGAAGAGGGCCTATGAGCATGTCGCAAGTGTGTCGGTAGGCTAACTGAGATCCACGTAAAGGGCCACTGAGCAACCGATAATAGCCGGCAGGTTATGATATGGGACCCCGGCTGTAGCCCACAGAGCGTTTCTGGTAAATGGAAAGAATCTGTGGAAGGGGCCGTGAATGATAAGAGTGCCCCGACCCTCTACCAGGAAGGGCCCCAACAACGGCGCAAGACCCTCCGAGCAAATGCAAAGAAATGAAGGGCCACGTGGAATACTCCGTAGCGATCGCAATGATCCTGCAAGTGGGTACATATGTCCCCCGGAAACAGCATGGGGCCCAAGACAGTGTAATGCAGTGTCCTAGAGTTGCCGACCGTGGGTGTAAAGCAACACCCTATGAGGAGGAATTTTTCACTCCTTTTCCCCATATTTTATGTGAATTTTTCACTCCCGCCGGACATTGTATAATCGCACGTGCCAAACCCCTATTTCCGTTTCTGAGCTTTTCAGATGTCATCCAAAACCGAGCTCACTTGAAACCACCAAGCATAAACGAGGCTCCACAGAACCTGGACACCTATGGCTATGTCCTGCCTTACCTACATCTGAATCATGTCTATGTATGCACAGAGCAAGGGCGCCAGGTACCTCCAAGCCCAAGAATCCCAGCGGCTCCAGCCGCTTGCACGCATTAAGTTTGGTTTGTTTACAAAATGCATTACAATCGGCAGCTGTGTGCCAGATGCAAGGTTTTCACGCATCCCCAAACTTTTCGTCTCACCACCACACCACGAAAGCAGCAAGGCAAGCAAGGCCTGGCAGAGAATTTTACTCCACCTATTTCTTTTTCCCCGAGGAAACTTGACCACTAAATTGCATCGCTCCCGAAATTCAGGAGTGGAGGATTCAAAAAATATCTTCCAGTTTAATTTACAAGATCAATATCACCATTTGAGCACTTATTTGAACCGATTTTAAGTCAAATCAGCTGCATAAAAACTTTTGCCAGAAAAGTATCAGTCTTTTCTTTATTTAACTACTTTCATTTTTCTTGGTATCATGCGAGTGTGACACCATTTTATTCTTCCTTTCTTTTGGATTGCCTTTATAGGTACCATCTGTTGCTTAAAATGTTGACCAATTTCTCTGCAAGATTCTCCGACCGCAAATTTGTACGTATTTCATACATAAATTGCATTAATTCGACAGTCGCCCAAACATGTTTGATATGCACCCAAGAGTGAACAATTCACAGGGAATGAAGGAGACAATTTGAAGCACGGAGTTTATTTTTACCGCCATATTTGGCCTATTAAACCCTCGTTTAACGTTTTCTTGGTGCATGGCGGTGCTCAATAATGATAAATCTAAGCCTTTCGAGAGTCTGATTCACCAGGCTACCTGACAAGGCCACCTTAATGCTGCCATACGGAGCTTTGGGACAGACCTGACGCAGCTAATACAGGAGTATTTGAGGACGAAATTCTGCCCTCTGGATATGTTTATCATGCACACCCCTTACTTGTTTCGCATTTTAATCCCGTAGGCTTGTGGGCATCACTGTATTTATATTTGGGGGGAGGGGGGGGGGGGGGAGTGGGATGACTGTCTGCCAGAAGACCATGCAAAACGCATTGACTTTTTGTCTTGGGGAGCCGGAAGGACTGTGGGGAACAGGGGAAGAGGAAGCCTCCTGTGAACCAAGTAATTGCTTATTTTACCTGATTTTAACACATGATTGTTAACCAGAGTTGGCCATTTTCTGTTTCAATCAATCGAGTTTTGTCATGAGACAAATTATGATGCCACAAGGCATGCAGTGGCAAATTTTGTTCCATATTCTTCATTATTTGCCCCAAATTTCTTGAAGTGGTCCCTCATGGCTGCTTTAACCAGATGTTTTATATAGTTGTCATGGTAGGCTGGCTGGCAAATGACTGTGCTGTATATATGCATATATCTTCATATCTTATATGCATATATCTGTGCTGTATATATCTTCGACACAGGGATACTCCAAGCTGCATAGTAATTATAATGTGGGTTAAATATTAGTATGTAACAAATAGTCAGACCATCCCACTTAAAACGTACAGCCAGCGTCTCAAACTTTGTCATTAAAGATGAATAACCAAGCCTACATAGATGCCTTTGCTGCAGTTGAAAAGGCAAGCAGCAAAACTGGCATGGTCATCTAAAGGTTATGTTACTTTTGGAGAAGGGAGATTGTTTTGTGGAGCATATCCATTATTGCCCTTGACATAAGTTAACCATGGCAATCCAAATAAGTTGTTCAAAGTGATTTCAAGTATTTTGATTTGTGTGTTGTCAACTTTGTCTGATGTCAACAAGCATACACAAATGAACTGTAAAAAGTGCAAGTTGAAACCAGCCAAAAATTAGTTATATCATGTTTTTTATCACAAGTGCTGCTGTCAACAGATAGGTGAGTTGGGATGATGGACAACATCTACTCTAAGTTAGGTTAATGTGGTTAAGTACATGGCGAGTGGCAATAGGAATTGTGCAAGAATCAGTAACTCGCAACTGCTGCTGTGATAAAAACAGGTTAGACAGGATGCGATGAAGTAAGGCCTCTTTACGTTAGGCATAGTTAGGCTACTTTCATGGAACAAACATTGGTATTTTGTAAGAAACAGTAGCAAATTTCTGTTTTCCCTGACCCCATCCTAACGAAGGTCAGAGGTATGTCTATTATGTTTGACTTGGTGATGCACTGATGTGTAGGAGTCCAAAGTTTTTTGTTTGAGTGTTTTATGCTTGCTGAATTTTTTTGTTATTTTGTTATTGAATTCCTTTATCTTGTTTTGTGTTAGAGTGCTGTGGAAGGGAAGTGTAAAGCACAGCAACGAATCATTAGTGATAATGACTGTTTATGCTCATTACACTGTAATGAAATTAGTATGCTTTAATGCATTCTGTTTTACTGTAACGGCTTAAGATGTTAAAAACCAAAACGTTTTGTCAGGCTTATGAGATTACGTCCACGCCAACTTGAAAAAGATGTCTTTGTTTGCTGAAGCATCAGCCACAAGCTCATAAGTTCCATCTTTTGTGAATTGACTTTTTCCCTCCTGCGCGGTCTTTTTGCGATGAAATCTTTCACTCCCGCCCTAGTTCAAAAGCAATTCTAGTTCCCTGGTGTAATGAGGCTTAGAATTCTCAGTTCACAACTTTTCCAATCATAGGATAACTTTTTACTTCTCATAGGCCCTTTACTTTCGTTTACGACTGTTTTTGGTCACCTGAAAGTCCTGAGATATTCAGTTTTGTTGCGTTTTATGCTAAAGACTGCACGCGTCCAGCCGGCTGTGAGCTCCCTCGGAGCCAATGGGCCCCTTCGGGGCCCAAGGGGGGCGGGCATGGCTCCGTGCCCCCCCCCCCCCCTGGATCCGCCCTCTGAGCTAGATGCGTTAATATGTAGGAGGAAGTTTCCTACCAAAATACAAACTCTGGACTGAGAAGTGATGTGTATTTTCATAACTTGAGGCCAAGCCATATTGTGTCCTCGGATCCACCATAATTTTCCATAGGGATGTATAAAAAAAATAAGAGCAGCAAACATTACCAGACATGAAGTCACCCATCCTAGCACCTTAAAAAGCTTGTGATCTGTGGAGTTTCACACGTTGGAAATACACGAAGAGGTGCAGAGCCCATATGGTTTGCCTCGGTCCAGGGGCTGTTGCCATTTGCTTCCACATGAGCGCATCTGCTCCAGGACGTGTGGGGGCAGGCTTCATGTGGTCATCGGTCGCGTTCACTAGTTGTCCGAACGTCTACTGTGACGCACGGCGGACACAGCATTGGTGAAGAAATTATTGATGGCACAGGTGTCTCATTTTAAGCCGTGAAATCAAAATATGTATCATAATTTGCTTGTTTCAACCAATGCAAATGATTCACTAAAGGGAAAACGATGTGTTTACACATCCGAATGACCTTGGGAGCCGTGCAATGCTTTGATGTGATTACCAGGCGCTTAACAGCGAATAAAATCGTAAACAAATAAAACAGGCGCAGTTTGCAGGGATCAAACTAAGTATGATGCTAAATGACCGCTGTGAATACATTGCATATAGCTAGAGGATTTGGAGTCTCAAAAAGAATGTGGTTTGAATTCCATATGCACATCGTCGAACTGGCTTCCTCAGTTCAAACCCCCACACAAATGAGCAATAGTCTCGGTAAGAATTTGTAGTTCGGTAGAATCAAATCTTATAGCGTTCTTAAATGGTGTCACAAATCATGTGGAACGCACCATGTGAACGCCTTGTGTGACGTGGGGCTCTGATTGCAAACAGACTGGGCGGTCTGGATTTCCTGGGTATCTACCGTTGGAAAATAACGATGATGGTGCTAATCATGCGATATTATTAGCGTCGGAGGTCTGATCATCTATGGCCAGTCAGTCTCAGATAAAATCAGATCAGAAGCTGCTGAAACACGCATTATGAGCGATGCACATGTCTGGAGGAGCAACAGAGCCCACAGGGGACTCAGCCACAGAGGGGCCTTGCCTTGAATTTGACACCTGCCCATTCTGTTTCTTTATACAATGATCCATGGCAAAATGACCTATATTGTATGTTCCATGGACGACATTTTGTTGTGAGCTCATGATATTTCTCTATGTGTTGCCACTCCAACGTCGTGAATGCCAAGAGTAATAACAAAGAGACCGGGAAGTCCACACCTCAACCACGGACGGCGTGCGCCCTGCGCTCCGGCCTTTGCCACGCCGACCAGCCTGTGCCGCGCCTCATACGTCTTTCCGCACCGAGCAGGCTGTTGCCACACCATTTGACACTCGTCCGGGCGCGATTACCAGTCAGATCATATGATAATCAAGTGGATAATTTCCCGCGGCTATTAACCCGTAAATTATGGCGCGGTTGGCTGGGCGGAGCCAGCCTGACGTCCACCAATCAGCGCCGCCGACCGATTACCGCCACCCACCGACGGAGATAATCATCGCTGGCCGACCAATCGGGCGGCCGGGGCCGGTCACGTGGTCCGGGCGGCTAAGCCGACGGCGGCGGGCGCCGGCCAGTTTGTCCGCCGTGCGTGCGCGATCGGCCGGCGTTGCAGCGGCGCACCCTGGACTGTTCGCGCCGCGCGGCTCCCGCAGCCGCTGTCGCCATGACGTCCAGCCGCGACGCGGCGCCAGCCTCGTCGCCGTTCACGATCGACTCGCTGCTGCGCACGAGTGCGCCGTCGCCGGTGCCGTCGCTGTCGCTGCCGCTGCTCTACTCGTCGTACCTGCTGCAGCCGCGGCCGCCTATCTTCACCTTCCCGGCGCACCCGCTCTTCCCGATGGGCCTGCTGAGCCCGGCGCTGGCGCGACAGACGCGGCACCCGCACCCGCACCCGCACGCGCACCCGCTCGGCCGCGACGAGCCGCTGAAGCCGAGCCTGTTCCCGGAGCCGCGGCCGGCGCACCCGGCGACGGGCGAGCTGCCGCCGACGCTGCACCCGGCCGGCGAGCTGCGGCCGGCGCCGGCCGAGCGCAAGGCGGCGCTGCTGGCCGGCGAGCTGGCCGACGCGCGGCGCGAGTACGTGGCCAGCGCGCTGCGCTGGGAGCGCGGCCGACACGACGACGTCAAGGAGACGGAGGGCAGCCTCTCACCGCGGCCGCACGGTGAGAGCACGCAGGGCTGGACTCCGCACGAGACGGACTGGGGGATGGGTTGACGGTATGGGATGGGCGGGCTCAAGCGACGGACTAGGTTTGCATGGGACGGTGGGCAAGGGCTGGGCGGCTGCTCTTGTGTGGAAAAGCGTTGCGCTAACGACGAAGGAACGTTGCGTTGATGCTTCTTTCAGCGGGCGGTCGTAATAATATGCATGTGCTTACATGTGCGCTATAGATAGTATGCACCGCACGTTTGCGAGCAGAACAAGTGATCCGAAGTTTGGGAAGGAGCACTTGGACTCACTTCTTCTCAGTTACCTCCATAGACTTATAGCGAGTGCTTCACATTTGCAAAGGGTTTTAAAGTGGGGTTGCTTTCTTGAAGATCAATCGGTGCAATTCACAGCCCTGCCAACCTTGAGACGTAAGCCCTTCTAGTGTCTGAGCTACACGCCCACGAAGATTTGCGGACTATTTCGGGGAGACTCAGGGGCACCCAGGCATCCATGATGTCACAATAACGCTATTCCAGCCCTGCCTTTCCATTAGCCATGCGGCGATCAAGGCCAAGACAAATATAATTGTCGCGTCGTTCATATCTGGCGTTCGTGAGCATGATTTCCAGACAAAACGGCCGTCAATTGGCTCTCAGTCAATATTGTGCGAGGTACGAGCACGCAATCAAAGAATGACGTATTGAAAAGCATGTTTACTAAACAGAGAAATGGCATCATCTACAGAAGTCTTTTCCACTTAGAAGCATGCCAATGGTTATATGTGAGCTTATTTAATCACAATTGATGCTTGCTTCAATATCTTCAAATGTGTAGCATTCACTTCAAACTAGCAAGTTTACAAAGGCTGGGATCCCGAGCCTGCGGTCCGAGTCCCGCCTGCTGCAGCTTTCGCCCTCGCGCGCTGATGAATCGCGATAGTTCAGCAAGTGAGAGATGTGCTGCCTTGACTAAAACACCAGGGGTTGGGTTATGGTGGTTATGTGATGGATTTTGGGTCGTACGTCGCCGACTTGTTCGTCATCTTTGTGCCTGTGAATCGGCCATGACGTCCATGACGCAAAGACAGCACGTCCAACGTATTGCTCTCCCTGAAACCTTAGATGGGTAGGAAGTTATTAGACGTATTCTGGACGTTGAGCTATAAAGCAGGCCGGAAGCGTACAACGGCCCTGTGTTGATGGTCTGGTGGACCGTAAACGAACGATAAAAGAGGCGAAACTGTCCTCAGTTCCGCGGTCATCTGGCCGCGGCACCGCCGTGAACAAAGGGGACATGTGCGTCTGGGAGTTCGTCCGCGTCCTGGAGTTTATGAACGTTATATGATCCTCAGGGAGGCAGCCAAGCGCAAAGCATCGGGTGACATTAAGGATAACTGTTGTTTTCATGTCATATGACACATGATTTCTGGCAACAATTGGGAGAAGCTTGAACCGAAGTAGGCTAATTGTGACAAATGCTGGGATGAATACACGGGGCGATTTTCCAGCCAAGCGCTGGACACGAAAGAAGCGCTTTCATTGCAGCTTCGTGGTTTTACTGAGTGGTCAAATGAGACTGTTGTGACCGTCTTCCTCCACTCCTGTTTAAAAGTCACTCCTTGATCGCAGCGGGCCTGTTTTGATTGGCGACCGCTGCAGGTTATCGGTCAGTAATGGCAATATCAATTATCCTAGTATGGGCAGGTGTGCAGCGGTATGACCATCGAGTTTGTTGTTTCCTAATCAGTGCAGCCCTCGCCCTCAACTCTGAGAAAAAGCGTCCTAAATTCGCGGAGAAGCTTGTTTCTCGGCGCATGTTGTGGGTAGGCTTTCACGGAGACCACGCTCCTGATAACTATCATAATAAACGTGTGCAGCACTCGCCTACAAATATTTTCAGAATGTTCATCATGAGTGTTTTTACCGCTTTGGGTTTGAGCCATTTTAACGTTTTTGCCCTTTGAGTGTTCAAACATGTGCAAACAATGACTTGTCTAAGTGTCACCCGACACTCGAGGGCTTCAGCACGCGGCGGCACTTTAGTGACTACCAATGGGCCGCTTATTGATACTTGCTTATGCGTCCTTGATTTGCGACCGAAACCAGGGGTTAAGTACTGACGGAATTCCATCCCCTGCTCGGAAGCAGGCCTGAGCTCGGATGCCATCTGGCTACAATGATCAATAACGGCGACATTGGGCGCATTGGACGATCTCGCGCTGGGAGCATCACCTCCTAACGGCTATGTCCCAGTTCGAACCCAAGGCGATTCTGGGAAACGATCAGTTTTCATTGAGTCTTAAAGGATCTCTGGAGAGTGGAAATCTCTTAGTTTTCTTGAAAGGAACTGGGAACACCAACGACAAATATGCTGTCTGTCTCATGTCTCTGGACGTCAGTCCAGACGCTAGACGCTATTCGGATACGAAATGTGTCAGATCTACTTAGATATTCATATAATTCATAATTGTTCTGGAAGTTCTAGCTGTGAGCCATTTTCGTCCCACGGGTTTCACCACAGGTAACTGAAAATCGTGTTCCTGCAAGAGAACCACCCACTTTGCGTATTGGCAAGCTTTGTCGAAGCAACAGTGAGGGGAAATATGCGAAGGCCGTAATATATATGCACAATATGTGTATGCATGTACATACTACGTTATGGATTTGTATATATGCATATGCATACACACACACACACACACATATATATATATATATATATATATATATATATATATATATGCATGCATGTATGCATATACATTCGTGTCCATGGACGTGGAAATAGGAACTGATTACAGCCGTGAAAAGTTGTGGGCTTCCGCATCACAAAGTTGACATTGTCTCGCACCTCGCCAACACCGTTGTTCACTGCTTATGTGAATGAAAATTGTCCTTGCTATCGCTTACGATTCACAGATGACAGTTGAAAGTTTTGTTTTCTGGTTAATAGAAGGAATGCGTCCTCTAAAGTCTGGAATATTTGAGCTATGCGCCAATGCGAGCGGTAAAAGTAAACTGTTGGATTAAATCGGAAGGGTGTTTTAGAATGATTGAAAAACATCTTTTCCATGGCGTTACTGCCGTTTAAACCTGTAATTTGAGTCGCCCTACGTTATTGCACATTCAGTCTGTTTGGTTTGCACTCGTTGGATTTAGCCAGCGTGGTGGTCATCGTTGGAAGGGACCTCCGTCAAGTTGGAAGGGCTTAGCTACAGGTTGAGGGCTGGAGCTTTCCAACCCTCCCAAACTCATGGCACTCTCCTCTGTGGTATTGGCCGTGGCCTCTAGGGCAGTCACCGTGCGCTTTTGGAAGTGCATTGTATCGACTAAAGCAAGGCCGCTTGGAAATTGCTCCACAAATCGACAGCTCATCGGATATTTTTTTCGCAGCACATGATGTTTAACCCCCCCCCCCCCCCCGCCCGCCTCCTCAGTGCAGGGTGGCCTCCTGTCATCAGTGGAAGGCCTCGTTGGGCGCGGTGGTCTGCTCAGAGGTTGACGGCTTTAATGTCGGCTGACTTTGGCTAATGGCTTTAATGTCGGGCTGTTCAACTGGGCCTTAACCAATTTTGGAAACTTGAAGGTCAATGGTTGTGGAAGCGCTTTGTTCTTGGCCAAGGAAATGTCACGTGCAACTTGTTAGCACTACAAAAGCATGCTGCCGTTTTGCAGTGAAAAGGCACCCCTGTAGTTTGTAAGGCCCTGGAACAAACATGATGACACTTATGAAGACGCCACAAGAGATTAGACACCATCATTTGGCTCGGCAAGCGGTAGCCTGTGCGGCTGGGGAGGAATGGAGCCTTTATTTGGGGGCCTAGTATGAAAAAGGCACGCTTTTCAAAGTCGTACCAGCCTCTGGTGGCTCATGGTTCACAGAGGAATGGCTTTTTAGAGTATTTAAACCCAGGCTGCTGCAGGGGGATATTTTTTGCCTGCTGTCCTGTCTGTGGATGTTGCGCCGCCATTTGAGACATTGCACCTGACAAAACATTTTAAAGGATTTGTGTCGAATTGTAAGAGATTGATGACATGACATGACAATTAATCACTGACAAATGACACATTTTTTGGCCCAGTTGGGAATTATTTTTGCCGGTAGTTCACTCGTTAAATTACAATCATTCTGCACGGTTCGGCTGACCGCATGGTTCAGCTGGATTAGTATACCCTTAGGGTTAAACAGTATTTTTTAAACATGACATCAATTAAACCACCACTTAGAAGCATGACTGAACTTTGATGAAGCATCGTGAAAGTTGCAATGCTTCCATTGGTCTTTATCTCTTTGGGCTGGACAAAGTGCTCATGATAATCATAGTTGTTGTACCGTTGGGATCAAATTGTAATGAAAACGCCACGCAATATATCCGTCGATCTCCATCTGTTTGGGCCGGGCAAAATATAACTGAAATCATGGTTTGTTTCCCGTTTCAAAGAAAATTATTGAAAAGATGTAGTTTGTGGAACATTTTAAAAGTACAATGGTATGTGTAAAGTTACCAGGATATCTTTGTTGCATTATGGGGATTGACAGCGTACGCCAGGCACGGGCCGACAGGAATTTGTTCGTAGGCTTCATTTCCGCTTATTAATCGCACGCAGCCTAGTTCCGGTCGCGTTGCCCAGGTATGTGCCCAGTGTATTTGGCCGCTTCACTCCGCGCCGACTCATTAGTTGACACCGATTTGAACACGTATGTTGGGACGGCGGGATGAGCGCGTGACAAGCCGTGCCTGTCTGCTGATCTCACCAGCATTACGGCACGTGCAGACGGCCGGCCGGCGGGCGCGCGTGCGCACGGTGGCGTGCTGGACCGCACGCCCGCCGTGCCGCCACCGAGCACGCTAATGGAGATCCAATTAGCCGCACTTGCGCGGTCAGAGCCGGCGCACGTAATTTGGGACTTATTAATTGTTTCGTGTCGGAAGCACGCGTGCTTTGTTTTGGTGCGCAGTCGCGGCGGAGCTAATCTCGCTTAGTCTGGAATTAAGTGGCTTCGAGGCGG